ACATTTTTAAATATATTTTATCTAGCAACTGGACGTTTCCAATCAACTGTCACTTCTTCAAAAGGAAACAACTAACTCAACAACTCTCAACAACTTCATTTTTGACGAAAAATAAATCCCAAGGATTTTTTTCAATATATATATATACATTCTAAACAATCAACATGAGATACATAACAATTAATAATAATTGTTCGTTAAACATAAAAAGCTTATAATATATACTTGAGCATTAAAACAAACAGGATAAAACATTATAAAATAATTTTAAATAATGTCTACACGACAGTCGCCGTCCTTTTTCGAAAAAAATATATACATATTTATTCCTTCCCACATTTGACAAAATTCTTCTATATCCTTTCCAAATATTTGTATATACTAAAAAAATAAAACGTAAACTGTAAATAAAACGTTTAATACTAGGGAGGCCTAAGAATGTCTAATTTTCACATTCCTGAAGTTCCAAGGTAAATTGAAAATTACACGGAGAACTTTTATTTTCCGGCCTCTGAATATTTTCCATGGAAGTAAAAGCTGCACAGCCCTTAACTGGAACTGCATATATGATCGTGGGACGAAAGTAGTAGATGTATATTAGTAGTTTAATAAACTACTAACTAATAAAAGTAGAAATTAGTACTAGTTTGTAGTTATGATAAAGTAAAAAATATGTAACGCTTTATTACATTTATTGCATAATATGTTAATGTAGAAGTTATATGTTAATTTTTAACAAGTATATAAATACACTCATGCCCATAAATTAAGGATAATGAAGTTCAGGCAAAGAAAGAGACAGAAGCAAAACAAATTTGACTTATTTGTAAAGTCTATTTATTAAACAAAAGGTAAAGAGCGAAAAAGATGCTATATGTTTGACATAATTAATAAAATTGCGACTTTTACTCCCTGGAGCAAATTTCAAAAAAGAACCTATTTACAAAAAACAGTATAACATGGTTAGTATGATGGTTAATATGGAGTATGTCTCCCGGACGATGCAATACAGGCCTTACAACGCCTAGGCATGCTGAGTATCAAATTATCAATCTGATCTTGGGGAATATTACACCACTCATCAAGCAACGCCCTCCGAAGTTCCGGTTGACAGGTGGGAGGGGGTTGACGGGCTGCAATTCGTCGGCCAAGCATATCCCACACATGCTCTATTGATTCAAGTCCGGTGAGTATACTGGCCAATCCATACGGGTGATATCTTCCAATTGAAGGCATTCGTCTACAATGTTTGCACGGTGAGGAGGGGCGTTGTCATCCATAAACAGAAATTCAGCACCCATGGCGCCCCGAAATAAACGTACATGTTGTTCCAGAATGACATCCCGATAGATGTGGCCTGTCATCGTTACACTCTGAACATGCAGGTCAATTCTGGAACCAAGAATAATTCCTCCCCAAAAGAGCCATTCTGCACCACCGTAACGGTGTCGTTCAATGGTGTTCTCTTGGAGGTAACGGATACCTGGCGCTCTCCATATGAAAGTCCGGCAAGAATCAGACTGCAAACTAAACCTGGACTCGTCGGAAAACATCACACCAGACCACTGTTGCGGTGTCCACAATGCATGCTCTCTACTCCTGGTTAATCGCAGGCGACAGTGAGTTGCGGTAAGTGGAACACATCTGACAGGCCTACGAGCATGTAGACCAATGTGCCCTAAGCGTCTGTACACGGTCTGCCTTGAAACTGTCGTACCGGTAGCTGAATAGAGCTGACGAGACAGGTCTGATGCTGTGCTCCGTCTGTTTCTTTTGGCAGTAACTGCTAAATACCGGTTCTCATTCGGCGTTGTAACTCGGGGGCGACCTGTGCTGTAACATCTACTCACATTACCATCATCTTGGAATCGTTGCCAAAGCCTGGAGATGACACTCTGGGCGATTCCAAGTTCCTCGGATACTTCCAGCTGGGTACGTCAACATTCCAGTCGTCCGATAATTCTACCACGTAAAAATCATCCAAATGCTTCCTTTGTGCCATAACTATGCGGTTATTGCACTGAAAGGCTTTTTAAAGCGCTTGTGAACAATTTTACTTCTTTGCCACCATTCCTTATATACCCTTCTCTTACATTCTCGTCATTGTGACATACTATCCGCGCCATCTGGTGGTTTCCTGTAGTTTACATATTCTTCTTCAAGATGTGTGATAATTCTACAGGTGAAATTTCTATTTTAGAGTTCAATTTCTGTGTGATTCTGAATTATCCTTAATTTATGGACAGGAGTGTATTTAGTTTCGTTAGTTTAGTTAATAAGATTATTAAAGATAGTAATGATAGGATAATTGTTTTGCCCACTTACCATGTTAACATTAATTTTTGTACGTTTAAAATTTCATATTTTTAGTCATTAAGATTTCAAAATTAATTTTAATATCAAAATAATCGAAATTTTAATCAATCCAAAAGTTAAGATCTTTATATCTTTTTGTTTTCCATTTTTGCTTTTGTAAATTATTAATATTAATTTATGTAACAGGCTAACTGTAGTAACTATTAAAAAATTGGTAGCTTTTAGCACAAATTTAAATCTGCGTGAAGAACTCAGTACATCATGAGAATATTTTCAAGCAATGAAGATTCGGATCTTACATAATCAGAATGAAAATAAACAGATACAAAATATTGCATACGAATTCTAATTCTTTACAAAATTTACTATTGTTTTGCCCACTTACCATATTAACATTAATTTTTTTGTATGTTTAAAAGTTGGTATTTTTAGTCATTAAGATTTCAAAATTAATTTTAATATCAAAGTAATCGAAATTTTTAATCCAAAAGCTAAGGTCTTTATATCTTTTTTTTTTTTTTTTTTTTTTTTTCCATTTTTTAATTTTGTGAATGATTTTTTTTTTTACTCCAAAATTTCACCAATTTTTATATTTTGATATTTTCGTACATTGAGATTTAATTATGTTATAAAGGAATGCCTCAATTTTTAATAATTCATTGTTTTATTCTGTCTCTATAGCTGTATATACAAATAATGTTTATAAACATTTAAAAAACTTCATTGAGCTTAATTGTATAAAAGAAATTTAACTTATTTATTTTTTAAAGCCTAAAACTTTACGCCATTTTTGCATTTCGGTATTAAATGGAGACCCTCAATTAATAACTTTTGACTCGGGATTCGAACTGAAGTAAAAGTCAATACTACAAGCCAGTTGGAGATAGTCTGCAACCATGCCTAATAGTAAGGGCAATAATTAACTATACTACTGTGCCCAAAAAATAAGATCAATTATTTTTTTTTTTTCAAAAACTCTTTATTTATTCTTCTAAATTCCTTTCATCGCCTTCAAAGTAATCCCCTCCGGACACAATGCACTTGTGCCAACGTTTTTTCCAATCCTCAATGCATGCTAAAAATGTCATCGGCAAGGAGGGCCTTTAAAACGCACGGCGATTCACGTTGAATCTCTTCAATCGACTCAAAACGGTGTCTCTGGAGTGGTCTTTTGAGTTCAGGGAATAGCCAGAAGTCGCACGGTATGAATATCGTGGTTGTGGAACGATATGAGTTTCATTTTTCGCGAAAAAGTCACGAAAAATCAATGCAGTGTCAGCTGGCGCATTCAGTGTTTTCGGTACGATCCAGATTTGACGCGTTTGAGGCCCAAAATTGAAGTGAATCAATCCTTTTGAAATTCCAACACCATCAGCGAAGTCTCTAATTGTAAATCGACGGTTTGCAAGCACCAAATCTTTAGTTTTTGGACGTGAGCTTCGTCGGTTGAGGTTGATAGTCAACCAAAGGCTCTTCGTCTTCTACGCGTTCTCTGCCTTCTTTGAACTGTTTATATCCCTTGTAAACATTTCTTTCCGATATAGGAATGCTCACCGAATCCCTTCTGCAATATTCTATGCGTTTCCGCAAACAAAATTTTATACAAATTCTTTGCTCAATTAATTCAGACATTTCAAAAATCGGCGGAATCAGTTTTAGCATCTCACAAAGCAAAGCGCAACTCAAACACTAATGAATATTTTGACGTCAAATTTCCCACAGATGTCAAGGACAGTGCCAGCAACCTAAAAAAAAGAAACAAAAATTGAAATTCCATAATCACCAGGAATTTTAAATTGAAAATTGGTCTTCCTTTTTTTGGACACAGTAGTAAAATTTCTAATACTTGCGAGCTTCTCTTGTTTGTAAATATATTGATAATCGGGAGGGGGGGGAGAGAAAAAAAAACGCTACTGGCAATGACTCTATTATTAATAAAATGTTAAAAATCTCATTATATATATGTGGAAATTTATATATATATATAGTTATAAAAGATCCTTGTAATAATTGTATTCCTAAAAATTTCCACATATATATAATGAGATTTTTTAACATTTTATTAATAATAGAGTCATTGCCAGTAGCATTTTTTTTCTTCCCCCTGCCGATCCTATAACTATATATATATATATATATATATATATATATATATATATATATATAGTTATATATATATATATATATATATCTTGCCTTCTAAATTAATCAATGCAGGTTTACCAAAGGATCATCACTGATTGGCCCAATTATTTATATCAATGAAACCTCCGGGTAAATAATATCCACCTTTTTCTCTACGTATATGACATTGTTATTTCAACTCAGACTAACAATAATAAAACATTTGCTGCAGCTTAATAATGCTATATTACTAATCTGGAATATTGGTAAATCAGATGGAAAATTCTCATTAATGCTAATAAAACAGAGGTTGTCCTTTGTACTAATAAAATTAAACTACACAACCACAAATAACCAATTTAACTACAAATTATTATAAAGAAATGTGTGCAATTTTTATTTCTAAATCAATCGGTAAAAGTATGTAACTGTCCTCAACATCATGATTAGTTGTAAGAATAACTGCATATGTGGAGGAAAATAAAATTTATGTTCCGAGTTATTATGTTATGCCATAAGATGCCTACTTATCACTATTACTTTTAAGATTTTGTGTAGCCAACGGCCGTACCATGCTGAATATACCTGTTCTCGTTAGATCACGCATCATTGGGCGCGGTCAGTACTTGGGTGGGTGACCACCTGGGAACACCGCGTGCTGTTGGCATTCACCAAATTTGGGACCTGAATGGCCGAGTGTCTAGCGCTCTGGCCCTCGGTGACACAGGTTTCGGGTTCGAATCCCGGCGGTGCCATGGATGTTTGTAGTGGTTCGGAATCCACTTTAAGCCGTAGGTCCCGGTCTCCTATGACTGCAATAACGTCACGGAGCCAAAGTCAGACTTCTACCTACGGGTGCTCCATCACAACAGAAGCTGCTTCCTTCCCCTTCAATCATGAGTACGTATGGGCTCGTGAGCTTGGCCAACCAAGTGGGATAAGAAACAACAATGGATTTTGTATGTGAGCTAAATAAATATCTGAGGATAATCCTTGAAAAAAAAATTAACTTACTGCTCACATATTAGCTACATCAAAAAACAATTTGGCTGGACTCGTGGTTCAGTGGCAAAGTACGCGGCTGGTGAGCATTAGGGTGGAGATTCAGTCCACTTTGTTGTAGACACTGTTTAAAAAACGAAGAGACTCGATGACGTTTGTGATCTTCAGCATTTTGCCTCGTGAGTGGGACTACATGGTGGGAGTTTTTGGATTTTCTCCCATGCGATATGCAAATGCTGGATAGTTCCCCCTAAAAGTCCTTCGGAAGACACAGCCTTCCTTCCTTAGCGTCACGGAGCCAAGTCAAACTTCTATCTGCAAGTGCTCCATCACAACAGAAGCTGCCCCTCCTTCCATGAGACCACACGGATTCTTCTACTTGGTCTAGATGTTGCTGTCGACCAAGTGGGATAAGAAGAAAAAAATTTTGAATTTGCAAGTTTTCTTTTAGGGGAAGGGGGAAGCTCTTTCATATATTCTGTAATAAAATCCTTGTTGAATTCCATATATTTTATTTACATGTAAGAATGTGACAGACTAAGAGGGTAGGAACGGGGAAACATTTATAAAGAGAATAGTATGAGAACAAAGAAATCATAACTCAAAAGAAAAATCTTAATATTTTAAATATTGCTAATTTTTATAAATTTCCATTTTCTTATAGGAAAAAAAAAGAAAAAAAAAAAAAAGAAAAACGCTCGCATCTATAACATGGATAAAGATCTAATGATCATTATTGGACCTGATGTAGGCTTTCCAGCACCATAGGGAAAAGTAAACAACACAAAATTTTTAAGTTAATATTGGATCCCTTCATTGATATCTGTACTAATTTTTTTTTTTTTCGTGTCAATAAATAGGGATGCCACAACATCTTTGAAATTTTTCAATAAAAATTCAGATTTCAAGTATCTTGTAACGACAGAAGATACTTTCACTACAGAATCTAATCGTTATATCCACCTGTTGCTTTTGTAACATTTTGTTTAATGACTCATCAAATCCTATTACTAAATCATCATCACTGGCACAACAGCCCCATTGAGGGCCAAGGCCGTCCGCCTACTGGCAGATTACGAGACGAGAGATTTTTCTTTTTACGGGACAAGGTTGTCAGCCCTACGTCCAACGCTCAACAGCCATATTAGACTGGGACCTACGGTTTAAAGTGGATTCCGAACCACTACAAACATCCATAGTACCGCCGGGATTCGAACCCGAAACCTGCGCGAACGAGCGCTAGTCACTAATCCATTTCAACTACACATGCTAATATTTGCAATCACATCAAAATGATAATAAAAACTATTATTTTTTAATTAAAAATAGGTTTTAAGGAATTAAATGATCTTATTGTTGTCGTTTCTTATCCCACTTAGACATCTAGATCAAGCCTACGAACCCGTACGGAATCATAGGTGAAGGAGAAAGAGTGCTTCTGTTGTAATGAAGCACCCGTCCGTACGTAGAAGTCTGACTTGGCTACGCGACGCTCTAGTCAAATGCGACCGGGATCTACGGTTTAAAAGTGGTTGCTGTTCTGAACCCCTATAAACATTCATGGCACCTCCGGGACTCGAACCCGAAACCTGTGGCACCGAACGCTAGACACTCGGCCATTCAGGCCCAAAATGATCTTATTAGAATAATATAGCTACTAATTGAATTCAAGATTTCCATAATAAAAAGTTAAAAATTTTTTTTTTTTTTTATTTTAAATGTACTCATGTGTGTAATATGTGTTTCGGTTTAAATAAATGAACATAACATCAATACTCGTGTGATTTTACCAGAAAAATGTAATTTCTGAACACCAATCACTTTCCGACCATTGTCGAAAAAGTTTCTTTTCCTGCATTGCAATCGGAACTAAAGAAGCTGGGGTAAATATGAATAAATTCGGGAAATCAGATGAAGGATTAACTTCTCTACATTTTTAAAGAATATCAAGCGGGGAAGGAGAATACCAGCCAGTCAAAAAATCGCAGTTTTAAGAGATTTTTCATTAATTTTTTTTTTGAGAAAGTTTTTTTTTTTTTCATCTTCTTCTTCTTCTAATGCAGCTGGCAAATAGACCGTGATCTTTCGCCATAAGGGCTGCACCGATGTTACTCACTTTGCATTACCCAGGGGGCGAGTGTCACTTGATGGTAAGCCACGGACGCGGAGTAGCAATGCCCCCGCAGTGCTCTACGATCCTATTAGGACCAGGACCTACGGCTTAAAGTGGATTTCGAACCACTACAAACACCCATGGCAAAGTCGGGATTTGAACCCAATACCTGTGGTACCGAACGCCAGAGAACTAGCCATTCGGCCATCAGGTCCCCTTTTTGGAGAAAGTAAAGAAAAAAAATCGAAGAAATTCATCGCTATTTTTCTATAATCTTCAATAAAAACAATTGATAAGTGATGAAAAAAAAAAAACACAAATTTTTGGGTATTTTTAAAATCTATGTTAAGGCATGGGGCCTGATGGCCGAGTGTCTAGCACTCGGTGCTACACGTTTCGAGTTCGAGTCCCGCCTATGCCATGGATGTTTGTAGTGGTTCGGAATCTACTTTAAACGGTAGGTTCCAGTCTAATATGACAAGAGGGTTATGAGTGGGGCTAACAACCCTACCCCGTAAAAAGTAAACATGTCCTGTCTCGAAATCTGCCAGTAGGTAGACGGCCTTGGCCCACCATGAGGCTGTTGTGCCAATGAAGATGTTAAGTCATAAGCTAATTTAGTTATATTTCAAGAAATCTAGAATCAAAAGCTATACAGTATTATCGATTTTTGTTAACGGTCACTTATTTTCTCTTTAGTTTTATAAAGCAGCAGTGATTCATGTTCATTGATGTTTTTTTCGTTCAAAGAACAGTGTTCATAATTTCGAGGATATGATACAGCAAAATGGATTTTCATTGAGAACAAAAAAGATTTTTCTCATCTCCTCGTCTACCCGGATTTTCGGGGTCTTACGGTACAATTCTCAATTAAAAAAAGCTGCAAATTTTTAGCCCTCCCCACATTAATAAGGAAATTTAGTTTTCTTAAAATATTTAACAATTTTGCAGGGGCTCGATGCTCGGGTTACGACAGACGGTACCACGAGGGCAGTCCAAGAAAAATAAATACTAGTAAGAGAGAAAAAAATTTAAAGAAATCGGTGCTTTCATAGACGCTTTGTCAATGATAAAAGGAGAAATTTCTAACAATTAACGTAAGCTATACATATCTAACAAACACTTCATCGACGCAACAGCCCCACGGAGGCCAAGGCCGTCTGCCTACTGGCAGATTTCTAAGCAGATGCTTTTTTTTTATGAGATAGGGTTGTCAGTCCTATTCTCTAATGTGATATTAGACCAAGGCTTATGATTTAAAGTGGATTTCGAACCCCTACAAACATCCATGGCACTGCCGGGATGTGACTGAGTGTTAGTCACTCGGCCATCAGGCCCCCTTATTACTGATTGCACCTCGCCATATATTATTTTAACTTTGTTGCATGCTATTTGCTCTACCACTTATTATTTGCTGTGTTAGAATTCTTTTATATTTGTGAGCCCACCAATAAATAAAAACATTTTTGTTGAACATATAACATGCAGCAGTAGTTCAGACTGATCACTGACTACCAACAATGAATGAATTTTGAACCACTACAAACACAGCCGAGAATCGAACCTGAAATCTGTGGCACCGAGCGCTAGTCACTCAACCATCAGGCTCCATTTAAAATATACTGACAGTTAGAAATTCATAAAAAATCCTACGTAAAAATCTATATAAAAAAGAAATAGAAAAATTAAATGCATCTTGAAGGTTATTACTCGGATGATGATTTGGGCTCATCCTAAAACTTAAATACAGAATACATAGGAGAAGGAAAAAAATAAAAACCTAATTTCTTTTATTGTAATGAGGATCTTTAAAAAAGCCAACTATTTTTAAAAATATAACCTTAGAACTAACCAAAATACATGGCCGTCTTCTGCGAGTCTAGATGCACTGGCACCTAATAATATATTTTTGTATGCATACATTTTTTTTTTATGTATATGATGATGGCATTGGATTTCCATAACTTCACAAATTTTCTACCATTTGGCTCAGGAATTTTTGTTTTATTTAATTTAGTAATTTAATTTTTCATCAAAAGATGAAAAATTAAGCAAAAAAATGTTTTTAAAAATATAAATATATTGGTCTAGGACAGCATGATTTTATGGAGAAATCAGAGTAGCACACAAACTAAGATGTTTGGATACTACTGAATAATATAGATCAAAATCAGCAATGACAAAGAAAATAAAAAAAAAAAAAAAATTCAAATACATGATTTTTTAAAATATTTTTTAATTGTTATTTTAACCAACATACATTTCAAACATCAAAGTTTCATTTTAATAAAAAGATAAAATTAAAATCTAAATTACATTGTTTGCTTTAAAATAAAATCAATTATTACAACTTTATCTGAAAATATAAGAAATGAAGATTTAATATTATATATATATATATATATATACATAGTACTAGTACATATAAAATATAGTAATTTTATGATTGAATTTGAGACAAATTATACAAAAATAACTAAATTGATTGATAACTATGATATAAACTTACACAGCAATTTAAAAGAGTAATAAGATTCAATTCCTTTTA